AGGCAGGCTTCTTTTGACTCTTACTGCAGTGAAAACGTGAATTCAGAGACCACTATGCCTGAACTTCAGTTCCATAGCACTTATTCTGAGAGCTGAATGGGAAGGAGGAAGAAGAGAAACATCTTATAATTTAGAGTATCAACCTTTATTCTGTTCAGTAAAGCACAGACTTTTTAGACCTGCATTTGTGTGAATTCAAGGAAATTAGGTGAGAAACTAGTAAAGGGATCTTGTATGCCAAGGTTTCCTGTGATTCTTGAAATAATTCTTATTTTCCCATTTGACAGTTAATGTTATGGTTAACACAAAAATCCTTAATCCAAGGCCTTTCTGTCATTGTTGGCATTTATGCTGAAAATGTACCATGTGATTTCTGTGGTATTTTGGCCTAGTTGCTGAAAGTGGTGCCTGCTGAAGCATGACATAAAATTTGGTGCTTTGCTTTTATTGTGTAAATAATTTTCAGTCATATTTATTGACCAAACTTCTCTTATTGTTTTTTGAACATGAGATTAAGCTGTGGAATTTTTGTTCAAGACACGGCCCATATTATGGGTTTTGCTTGGTTGACTTAATGTTGTTATGAGGAAGAAGCTGGTCACTTAGAGCTGCCTACAGGTTTAGCAGAAGCAAAACACTAGGTCTCTGCAGCACTGTGATATGGGTTTTTTGCAGTTCAAATGCTTCAGGACTTCTCTGTCTAGATAGGACTACTGGGACTGATTTAATAGCTTGAAGCCACTGTTGTGCTGTTAACTGCTGTACCCATGTTCTTCTGTCCATGCTCTGCTTTCCAGGTGATGAGGGAATGTTGGGACAGTAAAACCCATGAAACTTCAGCACCAAAAATGTCTGGGGTGGTTAACTGCACTGATTCAGTCTGCCTGAAAGCAGCACTCATTAATATGGACTTAGCACCTTTGAGGACTGGCACAGATGCTAATACTCTGGCTGTGACCATTGCAGGGCTTTGGATGTAAGACATGTCTGTCATCCCTGAGCAGCTCTGGCCACTGACACTTTCAATGGAGAAAGAGTAAAAATAGCAGTGTAAACCTCCCCACCGCATCGCCCAGAAGTGAACTCCTGAAAGAAAAATAAGTATTCAGCATCTTATGCTCGTGTGTTTTATGGCCATTCATGGTTCTTGCATATCACACATTCAGAAATCTCAGGCACTTTGCAAACATGACAGATATTGTAATTCTGGCGGTATGAGGACACTGAGGCATGGGGAGAGATGTGGCCCTTCCCATGACCACGCGGCTGATGGGACTGAACTGGAAATGACCGTCTGCCTTCCTAACTGTGCCCAGACCTCCTGGATGATCCCAGCCTTCCCCCTCCTGTTCTCCTGCTGTGACCGAGATCTCCCATTCCTCTGCACAGGAGCGAGTGCCAAAGTCTTGGAAGTGACACAGCTGCCTTCAGTGACTTTCAGAGTACAGTTTGTGGTAGTGTAAGGAGGCCAGAATTGCTCTAAAATGCATGTTTCCCCCGATGGTTATGTCGAGGTGGTAACGTCTTAGCTAGAGCCAGCGCGCAGGGGCTCGTCCTGCACGCGTAGAGCTGTCCTGCTTGCGAAGGCAGCTGGCTTGTCCGCGGGGGATGAAGTCCACAATCCACATAAGCTACTCAGGGCTTATCGAGAGTGGACAAGGTTGGACAGCTTCGCCACCTGGCATGTATTTGTGGGTAGGGAGAAGAGAAATGCTTTCCGGATGGTTTTTATTGTAGTAGTGTTTTTCTCTTGTTTGTTTGTTTTTCAGTTTTTCAATAGTTGACTTCTGGTCAAAAAAAAAAGGATCCCTTCAAATCACCTTTTTGCATATGCTCCCGATAGCTACTTGAAGTGCTTCCTATTTTGCTTTTCTTGAAGGCTGGTTTCTGAATGACACCTGCTTGTTTTGAAGCTGGTCTGGATAGACTCAACTTGGGTCCTCGCGTCCCTCCCAAGAGCCCTGTGTTCACAGAGAGCAAAGCTCACTTGTTTCAAGATGCTTCAAAAAGGATATTTTTAGCTCTACTGTTTAGCTCATGGAAGAACTTTCTTCCTTAATAGGAGAGCAAACTGTAACAGAATTCCTCTGAAAAGTCTCTCTCGCCTTTATGACACGATCTTCACTTTTTCCTTTTCTTCTGGGTGGCTTCATGTTCTCTTTCATGGCTTTCTTCTCGTGCATGGCTACTCTTCCTCTCCTCTCTTCTTGCACTTTCCATATGATGGTGGACAGTTCAGAAGAATCTTTTAATACTCGAAAGGAGTTTATGGAGAGAGGGGAAGGGGCTCAGACTTTACTTTAAAAAGATACTATCTTAAAAATAACTCCTGGGTCATTTTGCACTTCACTTAAACCAACAGCTCTTCCAGAGTCCCAGGCTGAGCAGCATTTATAAAGAATAATTGTACCATAGAGCTAGAACTTTGTTATCCCCTCAAAACACCTTGTGCACATCAGTTGCACCTGGACCTTGCTTAGGAGTTGTCATATGTCCTTTGGCCCTGCAGTAAATAAATCTTATGTGTCAATGTCTTTGCTGATGTTCGTGATGAGCTTGCTGTGTCCCATCCCAATGGGTGATGTAATGGTAATGAGCACAGAAAGATAAATTTGTTTCAGTAACTGTTCTATTTTGAGAAGTCTATCCCTAAATCAAACAATCTGAGAAATGTTTTTACTTGCCTGTTAGCAGTAGTATGAAGTAGAAAAGATATTTTACTGCATCTCAGGCTACAATGTGCAGTAAGACACCGTGTTGGGAGATACTGGCAAAACTGCCATGTTGACTTTCCAAAGTGTTAAATACAAATAGTTAGAATTTTCAGTGATGCTAATCTTAAATCTAGAGATTTGCATTTTTTAAGAAATGTTTTAACTGGTATACCGTGAAATTGAAACTGTCTTGACTTATGTTTCTGGAGGACCTATTGCCATGGCAGCAAGATGTTGCACCTACAGTATAAGCTGTTGTCAGAAATACATCATAAATTAATCCAAAGCAAATCAATGTTGAAGAAAACTGCAATGCTAAAGCGACTGGATGTGTTAAAGGAATTCTTTTGTTACCCTCTGCTTTCTTGTGTTGTCCAGGGATTCTTACACATTGCATACATTGCACTTAGGTTGTAAACCCTTTAGGAAGGGGACTTTGCCTTTAGCATGAGGCTGGCGTTCAGGTACTGCAAAAGCTGCCAGCACTAATGCCACTGTACCCCTGCTTCAGTGCTGTGCAGAGAAGGGTTTCTGATCCCATTCCTCATTTTTGTGCTGTTTCTGCATTTCTCTTTCTCTTGGGAACTGCAACAGCTGGGGCATCAGCAAAATTGGATGCATAGTTTCCATGCGTTGCCTTTAAAGATATGTGCTCCCTCACGCTGCCAACAGCTGGAGTGAAGTCAGTGTGGGCAAGACTTTGCTCTGAGATCCTGGTAACATGTTCATCAGAATCAGCTCAGTTCTGCTTTATGTTGGACTGATTCTAACTGTAAAAGGAAAAAAAAATCTCCTAAAAGAGCTTTGCAGCATGTCTTGAAAAACACCGTGCCCTGGCTGTGGTAATGGACCACCAACGTGAGCTGCTGCTTGGTTACCAAGGGGATAAAATATTGCTCCAGGGAGATGTTTTTATACAGTTGCTTATTCATATTTCAGTAGTGGCCAAAAGCTCCCTTATGCTCAGCAATGCAGAAACATGAAGGCAATGCCAGCTTCGGAGGCCACAGTGCGGAGTGTTTTCACTTCATCATAAAACCAAGCCCCCTCGACAGCCTGCAGTTGGATGATTAGTGCTATCCTCTCCTTCTCTTGTAACTTCTATTCTTCCTTTTGCAAGTTCCTTTTCATTTGACTGCTTGAAAGTCGAGTATTATCTAGGGCTGCCAGATACCTTGCTGTCAGCTTGGGAAAGGAGCTGACAACCTTCCAAGTGTGCAGCGGGAGCAGACAGAGCTATAGGTTCTGATTTTCAGTATCAGAGCAGTGACAGCAGGTTCATAGCCATGCTAGACTGGCAGAAAGATGTTTTTTAACAAATAATTTTCTGCTATAGATAGTTTTTTCCCCACACTGAATTATTCTTTTTACAACCTGCAGATCAGCAGGCTTTCTTGAAGGCTTGGCACTGAAGCCTTTTGGATAAATACTCTATAATAAGCTGAGTAACAACTTTGATTTGTAGCTCTCAAGTTGTGGTAGCCAAATGCTGTTATTACACTCGTTCCTTCTTCCTATCCCTTGTTTTCCCCCTCCCAAGTGGGAAACTATTTTAAACTCCTTTATATCCTCTGATTCTGTGATACTTTGCATACTCTAAGTTGATGATGATACTAATTCAGATTCTGCTTATTTGCAGCTGTGAAATAGCACACAGTGAGGATATTTTTGTAGCTTAGCAATATTTGGGAGCCATCCAAAACTCCCTGTGATCCCTGAATTTTATGGTATGATATGTCTTTACCATTGTAAAATACATTTAGCATGATCTTTTAAACAGAAAAGGAAAAATGAGCAAACTTAACATGATCAAAAACAAAGAACAAAACTGCTCTCCAAAATGCTTATAAAAGCAAAATACCTTTAAATACATTAACCAGGCAGTTTAATCTTTTTGTTCCAGATAATGTGGAAAGGAGGAGGGGGTAGAGCAGTAGCCGTTTCATTAAATGGTGGAAAGGTTATTGAGATTCAGGTTTTCTAAATGAAAGTCTTGGGTGTGACTCTGAGTAGGGGTGAATCTGGTTTAGAATTTGCTCTGCTGTGCAATGAAAGAAAGGAGGTGCCATGAAGGTGGTGGAGATTCACCAACAAACTGATGCCTCTCCTTTGAGGACAAGCTCTATTAAACCTATATAATGTTTCAATTATTCAGTTTATGGCACTGTCTTAAAATTGAGACTTGTAAATTCCTGCTTGGTTGGAGTGAACTTTAAAGAAGTACAGTAGATGGAAGGGATTCCTTTTATCCCTTATTTTGTTTTTATGAGGCAAAATATTTTTTAAACTGATGTTTATTTTCTCTGCAGGTATGGTGTAAGTCCTGAGAACATTATCCTGTACGGTCAGAGCATTGGTACCGTCCCTACAGTGGACCTGGCATCTCGGTACGAGTGTGCAGCAGTAATCCTTCATTCTCCTCTGATGTCCGGATTACGGGTAGCTTTTCCTGACACCAGGAAAACCTATTGTTTTGATGCTTTTCCGAGGTACGTATAAAAGCTGCAGAGGGATTCTTGTGTACTCAGTGCCACTTCCAGGTTTGAAAGGACCAAGCTGGATAACTCTCTAGGGAGCTTTTCTTAAACTGTGACCCGAATTTTGAACTCCAGATATACACACCTCCTAAATCAAAGGAGATTCACACGATAAACAGGCTGATAACAGTCTCAAACTGACATGATAGCTCAGTGAGTATAAAACACCTTGATGTTTATAACTGTTTTTCTCCTTTTTTTTGTCTTTTGACTTGTTAACATCAGACTCTTTATGTAATCAATTTTGAAATAATAACAACTGCTAATGCGTTACTAAGTCCTTCAGGCTAATGACTAATAAATTAGTAGTCGTACACTCTGTAACATCTCAGTTGACTCTGATTTAGAAGATATGATAACATGAAATGAATGTGCTATTTTCAAATTGCTTCCTAGTATATTGCTGCAGTTTTACCAGATCAGCAAAGAAAAAGCTATTGATTATAGCCACTTTAAAGGGAGAGAATAAGCCAGGGTCAGAAGCTGGAGTGTTAATCTGGAGTGGTTCTTCTTTTTTGCTCAGTTCTGCATTTCCTCTGATCTGGGGGAATGCCTTTTAATGATGTATTTTTTGTTGTTGTTACTGCCCCTTTTTCCAAAGATGCCATGCTTGTTTAAGGAGCTCTGTAACATTTTGCATGCAGAAGGCTGTATACAGGTTGTTTGAAGAGAAAGTATTTGCCTTCATAACCCAGCCTCTCATTTGAAAAGAAATTGCAAGAGGTCTAAATTAAAGAAAATCCAAATGCTTGGAAATAACAGGTGTTCTTGGAGTCTTCTAAAACTTCTTATCTGACCCAGTTTAGATGAGAGGAAAGCGAAGTCCAAAGAGTTGAAAATTAGACAATGAAATGTACTGATGGTTTTGGATACATTTCTAGATGTCTGCTCTTCATGTTTATAATATTCAACATTCAAAGTACTGCATACATTCAAAATTTTCAGAAGTTCTTTTTTTACCTGCGTTTGGACTTTTTTATCTTTCTTGAAAGAGCTTCGATTTTACTATATGGAAATTGAAAAGAATCATTTCTGTGGAGCTGATGAAAAAAATCATATCTCTGTCTGCTTAGGTTTTTATTTTCACAGACACTGTTCATGTTATTAATTACATAATGATTCTCTAAAACTTGTTTAAATTCTACATTACAAGTTTTGTCATTTGGGCTGAGTTTTACTATCTTCTTACAGATGATTAAGAAAATACTTTAAAACACTTGATTGTGGTCACCTTATACAGTTAAGCTTCCAGTGCTATTAAAAATGGATTATTGTTTGAGGCTTTCATTTAAATAAGAAAGGCTTCAGTGCTTGCCAGGGATGAGCTTTACAAGTATATTTAGCAGAAGGAGGATTGTTGAATAAAATGATGTTTTCTGGGACAGGGCTTGTCATATATAAAAATACAGCTTAAGTATATGTGGCAGGCATTAGTGTGATTTAAGAGGACAAGTATGTAGTCATAGCAGGGGTATGCAGACTTGTGCGGGAAGGATGAGGGATTAAAAAAATCTAAGTGGTCCAGGGAAGGGACCATATGAGACTTGCTGAAGCCTTCTGTGAAACTTGGCTTTGCTTCAGAAGACTCACGTTTGCAGTGAGTGATGTAGGGGAGATTTATAGCGTTTATCGTGCTCATTTCATCTTCATCTCCACAGATTAAAATTAGTAGCGTGGGGGGTTGGAAAACAAATCCATAAATCTGTGTGCCTGAAGAGCCAGAGGATCAAGTATATGGTTCTCACAGGAACTATAACCAGTCCTGGTGTTCAGTATTCTAGCAAATCATTTAAAGTGTAAATTGTTGCAATTCCTCTTCACAAACTTGTTCATCATCCTTAAACTTTAATATTTGCAAATGTTTCTGCTAGAGGAAAAACAAAGCTTTAAAAATAGCTGTATTTGCAAAGCTCACAGTGATGAGTTGATATCAGCTAAATCAAATAACAATCCTAAAAGAAATAAAAGGAGGAGGACGTTGACAACAGATGGACTGTAGTGCTCGAGTATTTTGCTCTTAACCTACTAGACTGTTGGTTGCTGTCAGGCTGACTTCGCTTACACTGGAAGCAGTGAAAATAAACATGTGTGCACGGCCACGAATGTGCACAGCTCAGCTGCCTGTCTTCATGGCAGGAGACAAAACAGTTCTGTGTTCACCTAGTTGCTATTATGTGCATTTATGTTGGGACTCCATGAGAAGTGGTCTCTGAAGGTTTTTCTAGCTGCAGAGTGGTGTGGCTAAGAATACTAAGTAAGTCTAATGTGCAGTTTAAATACTGCCTTATGAGTCGCTGAGCTGGCAGTGGGAAGCTTTCCAATTTTCTGCAAAATACAAATATTATCTAGCTTAATGTTCTGTGAATAGATGCGGGGAAAAAAAGTTTCCTTAACTGGGTACTGTAGTGAAAGGGCTTCCCTGGTTTCCTACAAAAAATGAGAATTTAAAATCTAGCCACCAACATGATGCATAAAAATCTGTAGGTAACTGCAGAGCTGGCATATCATGGAAGTAAGAGGCAGAAGCTTTGTGGGTTTAAGACTTCAGTTTACATAACATTTTAATGATTAAATATTTATATTTCAGCTGTGGTAAGAATTTGGTGATGAAAACTATGAAACAAATTATCCATACATAATTCTGATGTTTCTTTTACATTCTTGGGATATTTTTCTGCATACAGCTAAGCACAACTAAAGGTCCAGACAGGCAAAGTGAAATGCATTGCATTTTAATTTTAAACACTTTTTAACTGACACAGTCTGATTTTGGCAAAACACTGAAACGGAGACAAAAATGTGTTTACAGTCTGCTGTTTGCTGGAATACCAGTGACTGTTCTCTAGAATACTGGAGCCTTAGGTCTACACATGTGAAGACTGTTGCTTTGGTTTACATCTTAATTAACTTCATATTTTCATACAGCTGCTTTAAACCTGCTTTTAAATCAGTGTATGTTGGCGTCTGTATTTTTAATTATTTTAAGCCATTAGACTGACCCCTTTGTAAAGTCTGTAGCCTTATCCAAGTGGCACGTGGCGATGATAACTAGACTTGCTTTCTTAAATGGTGCAAACGTGAAAAGCTCCAAACTGAGCAGTGTTTTTCTCTTCCATCCCCCAGCATCGACAAGATCTCTAAAGTCACCTCTCCTGTGCTGGTCATCCATGGTACCGAAGACGAGGTCATCGATTTCTCCCACGGCCTGGCGATGTACGAGCGATGTCCGCGAGCGGTGGAGCCCCTCTGGGTGGAAGGGGCTGGGCATAATGACATAGAGCTTTATGCACAGTACCTGGAGAGACTAAAACAGTTCATATCTCATGAACTTCCCAACTCCTGAAGAAGCCTACCTGATTTTACCTCAGTTACTGTGAACGGAAGAAATTACCTGTTTTTGCACATGCTTTAACTGGATAGCTGTAATAGCTTTATACTATGAAGAAATGCCCTGACTTTAGGGTGTTCTAATCAAACAGCTGATGAAATTTGTCTTTTGTATCTGGAAACGATTCTACTAATGCACACAATATGGTCAACTACTGTAATTCCAACAATTTTTAGCTTCGTCGCCCTGAAGGAAGTGGGAATACTAGCTGCTTATGGGGACACTTTTTACCTAGTGCTGTATTAATCAAAGATCAGTTTTCTCTGTCTCACTTCTGATCGTTTATAATTCTGTCCTACAAAGACTTTTTTTCCCAATGTTCTCGGTATGTAGGACACAACTGTCATGAGCTGCAGCTTGTTCTAAACAATCAGTTGTGGGTTCAATTTAAGGGAGTCCTTTCTTTGTAACGTTTTTCTAGCTGTGGTATTGTAACTGGAAAGTTATTGTGATGAAGATCTCCCCTTTTCCCTCTTCGTGTTCTTTTGTTAACTTACTGATCTTCCCAAGTAAATTATTTAAATAGTTCTTTTTTTTCTGAAAATAAGCAAACTACTATATGGGGCTAAATTCTGTAATAACCTCTCAATTACCTGTATAAACATAACTGGAATATTCTTAAAGGAAGAATGGGCAAAATCTCTTTTGTTTAAAAATAAATGTGTAAATTTGCTACTAGAAAACTCATTTTAATATTCAGATGGTCTGAATAATAGCCATAACTGACATTTCCTTCTGTAAAGCATTCCTGTAGACTTTTTAAAAGTACTGTACATATTTGAATTTTCATTGTGCATAGATTCTTAATTGGTAGTTTTAATTTAAGTCTAGCTACAATAAACTGCAGAATTCTGGTTTGTATATGATTGAATACATTTTGTTAAAATATGTTTTTATCCCTATATTATTTTGCTATTAAAGTTTTATAAAGTTTCCAGGGCAAAACAATTTACACATTTATGTTTTGATGAATTTATGTAACTAAATTTTCATTGAACTGATCTTTTTAGTTTAGAGGTAATTTGATTCTTTGACACTGGAATCGCACAGATTATATGCATCAGAAATGCAAGACACTTAAAATTGTTACACTACTAGCATAGGTCTAATTTTTCCAAATTTAAAGGCCTTAAATGTTCTGTAAGCCTCAGATTGTTGTATAAATTGATCGCAGATTGATTGCAGTTTGTGTCCTGTTGCTAGAATGCAACGCAGTGATTGTAATGGAATAAAGGATGCATGGATTAGATTTTACTGAATTTGGAATTTTATTTGGGGTAGAATTTTCATACGAAAAGGAAATGCAAAGTGCAGAAAACTTGATAGAATAACTTGAATTTAAGTGTTTGATTCATTGGTTGGAAAAATGTTCTTAAGTACAAAGCTGCTTCTCCACTCAGCTTTGTATGTAAATCAATGTAAAAGTAACTATTTTTAAACAATGTGCAACTGTTTAATGAAAAATGATATTTCGTGGCTTAGAGATGTTTGAAAACAGCTATAATGAGTCTTGTTGGGAGGCCTGCTGCTGATGGCCAACAAAGGAAGTGTGTTTGTGCCCTCCTGGAGTCTGATCGTTCACTTGGCCATAGACCTGTAAAGAAAACCGGAGTTTCTGTTCTGGGGAGGGAGGGAATGAAGGCACCTGGCCTTCTCCACGTTATTTGGGTCCTTATAATCTGAATCCTTGTGTGAGTATTGTCCAGTCTTAACTCTAAGCGTGCCCAAGTTATGGGGCTTCCAAGCTGCTCTCTTGATGATGTAGTGGGCAGGTTTTGCCTGATCTTCCTTTCAGGATTGTCTCTTCCCTTTTTTATTTCAGATATTCATATGCATCTCTCGTTGTGCACTACCATAGATCCAGAGTGGCAGTTTCCTCATTTTTACATGTGTTCTTTTGTTTCACAGACTTGACCTCTGTGGAAATAAAGCTGGTCTTCATGATACAGCTACTCCAGATAAGGTAACTTCCAAAAGTTGTCCTCAATAGGACATGACGGTTTCAGACATTTCCAAAAACAAAACAACAGCCTAGTACTGGTCGACATTAGAATTATTAATAAAAATCTGTGGCCAACTCATGAAACTGCTTATATGACTGCATATCTGAAATCCCTGTTTAAAGAAAAAAAAAAATATAGTTTTAGATGATAAAATGGGCATTATGTAATACTACAAAAGAGAAGCTTTGAATTAGGTTAGAAAAACATTCTGTGTTCCAAGAAACTGCTAACGTCTTCTCATTTGGATGTGTAATTTTAGCCTTTACGAACTTGTTAAGCATATTTTAGAGCTACCAGGGTGTCACTGTAAAAGTGAATTCCTGACTATGTGAGTCTGGATAAGTTGTTTTGTGGGATTTGTTTTAGAAGAGTGTCAACTAGTGTGTGTGTGTGTTTTTTTTTGGGGGGGGGGGGGTTTTTTTTTTCTTTTTTTCTTTTTTTTTTTTTTTTTCATGTGGATGCTCTTTCCATATTTTTTTGCACATCTTAGAGTTGCACTATGAAACCGAAGACAGGTATTATGAATGCGACTTTTTTAGTAGTTCAAATGTAAGGTAAGACGTGACTCATCTGTTTATTTTTTTTTAATCAGTATAATGTTTTTACTTCAAATAAGAGAAAAAAACCTGTTGCCAGTTTACAAGTAGCATTTTTGAGAAGTTTGATATATGTATTCTGTAATTTGTGGAAATTCCATGCAAGCGGCCGACCAGTTCTCTTTTGAATGCCCAAACCTGTATCTTCATCTCACATTGTCTGCAGCTTTTATAAACCCTGTATCATGGTGTTTTTTTATTTTTTAAACTGATGCTAAATATAGAAATAGAGAGAAAATTCACTCTGTTCCTCTGGTTATTCATTCAGCAGTAAACCTGTTTTTTTCTCATTTAGAACATTTTTTTTTCCCCCAGGTCCATTCTCATGAAATGTAAATTACTCCTGTGGTTTAAGGCCATTGCATCCTCCCTTCCTTGAGGAAATGGCCACCCAGTAAGGACATCTGGCTTACAAACGTAACCGTTGTGTAACCCCAACCTGAGTAAGAGTAGGATGGCATTTTGGTGAGTGCAGTGCGATGGGGAATGAGGTCGAGCACAAAAACTCCCTGCTTCAGGTTTATGTGGCTTCCAAGTCCTGTGCAATAAGTCGAGATGAATTTTGAAGTAAGAGGTGATGTTTCATCTGTGAAATATCTGGGTATCATGACTTTGTTACAGCAGAGTAACAAGCTGCTCAGTGGAGGTTACTTGTTTATCCAAGTTAACCAGTAAACTCTAGTTGGGTGAGGGTCTGGTGTTTAGAGCAATGTGATGAGCTTCTAACTTTGAGCATGCTTCTGTGGCAATGTCTTGTTTTGCAGCTGGCTTCTTACAATCACCAAATTAATTTTGAAAAAAGTGTGTGTGTGCGTATGTATATATATGTATAAATTATATACGCTTTTACTTATATCCGTTAGCCTAGCCGTGCGGCCGCGGCTCGGCC